GAGAGAGAGAGAGAGAGAGAGAGAGAGAGAGAGAGAGCTGAGTTCTGTTTCTTCTTCTATGTGGTGAGACCCCACCCAAATTGATAGAGCTTAGCGAGGCTCAGATCCTCAACACAGTTTTGATCGATTCTCAGACTGCTCTTAAAACGTTTACCGAGTTTTACTCCGTCCCGGACCGCTGACTGATCCATGTTGTGAGCTCCAACTTGCACAGATTCATTCGTCTGGACCATAGATTCAAAGGAGATTCCAAGGATTAATGACCATAGACTCAGAACTTCAAGCTGGATAAGCGCTTTGGGCATTGCCCTTACTTTTGTTTTCCGGGGGGCTTTGCCCTGATCTACAACGAGTCAACTATGCATTAATGGGGATGAGGAAGCTAATAGAATAGCAATCACCCTTCGGACGTAACCTTTTTCTTCCTTGCGCAATGTTCTATAAATTCAGTTCAAATCCTGCCATCCACGGGCATTAGGGGAGTGGTCTCGCGAGAAACATGATCGACGTCTGCCTGAGTCCGCTCGACAAGCTCATTAGAATTTTTTGCACATCGAAAAAATTGGGAACAGGACCAAAACCAAAAGACATGGAGCTCTGCTACCCAGAAAAAAAGGACCGGTGCTACCCATGGCAGATGTCGCCAGAACGGTGAAGGAATCGACTGCCACCTTCTCTTTTGTGTGTGGGGGGGGGGGATCTGCCTTTTATGAGACCCCCTCCCACCTGACCTCTCGTCGATTCTCCCCTGTACACACCTACTCCCCCACTCCTAACTCAGTGTCCACCACTCAGGAACATCACCCTTCTACCGTCTTGGCGGGGTGACCTGACTGGACAATGGTTGTAAGCACCACAGCTGAGCGGGACTCAGCCATGGTTAAAGCGTGGTTGACCTGGGCTCCCCAGTGTGTACATCTGTTTTTCTTTTCACAAAGGTCGACGGCCTGGACATTATACCATGGCAGCAATCCGGACCTCCGGACAGGGATCCGTACTGGACAGTGGACAGCTGCCCGCTGTCCAACGACCGTGTCCGGATCCCGGTCCGGATTCCAGACCTGGTCCAGGGCGTTTCGTCGCGACTACCGTCTTCGCCCGAATAGAACGCCCGGTCATTATTGCTGTATTTAGACTGCCAGGTGGCCCAATTACAGCTATAATAACCGGGTATACTTTTCGGGTGAAGACGGTACCAGCCTTCCATCGCTGTAGTCCTCTCCCTTTGTCATCACCCCGAGGAGCTCCAGTCTCGGTCATCAATTGGTCCACGGTCACCATCCGCTCAACTGGGCCCTACTCTGGTAGCTATTACCACACTCTGTAACATTACACCCCCTGAACAGAGTAGAACTCCGAACCTTGTTCTCGCAGCATCCTAGCTCAACCTACTGAGCTACTTCGCCGGCTGATCTTTGTGTGTGCATACACTGCACACGAGGCTGGGGGACAAGTACGTGGAGAGTGCCCACCTAGCGCCAACTCGTGCACAGGGTTGATGGAATCGAACCCACAATTCTCCCCCCATTGCAATGGCAGAGCTCTGGCCAACTAAGCCACCATGGCTTTTGAAAACCGCATGCCACCTTTAAGAAATCAGAAATAACATCCATGAAAATGGGAACAATACAGAGAAGATTAGCCTGGCCCCTGTGCGAAGTAAGGATGGGAAAAGGAAAAGGAGACCCGAGGACAGGTTCGATCGCTCGTGTTTCCCAAGGACAAATTTTTGAGGTTTTTTTTTTTAACAATTCATTATGAGCTGGGAATCGGGCCCAGCGGTCCCTCACATCGTGGAGCGCAGTCTGTGGGCTGAGCAAGGCGTACCGCCCATGGCAAGCGGAACCCTGACCGCAACATTCTAGATCCAACGTAAAACCCAAAAGGCGACTCAAAAAGAGGCCCACTAAAAGGGAGGAGGATCTCCACATCAACAAGTATTTACATGTGTAATCGCAGAGCTGACATCTCTATGAATCCCAGCTCCCCGCCCCGCGAGGGGAGGCATGGACGCGAGAGCTGGACGAATTCCTGGCGCCAATGGACAAACACCTCTCCCCAGCACAACAAGAGCACCTGGAACGTCCCCTAACAAAGGACGAGATATGGGCAGCGCTACTCCAGATGAGGGAAGATAAGACACCGGGCATAGACGGCTTCCCCAAAGAGTTCTGGGAAACAATGTGGCCAAAACTGAGTATAGACCTGTGGGCGTTCTACCAACAAGTTTGGGAGGACGGGGAGATGGGGGAAATAGTGGGGAGAGGAGTGCTGACCCTGTTGTACAAGAAAGGGGACAAAATGAACATTAAGAACTACAGACCCATCACTCTCCTTACAGTTGTTTATAAAATCCTCTCTAAGGCCCTGGCGAACCGTATGGCAGAGATCTTGTTGGACGTGATCCACCCAGCGCAGACAGGATTTATGGCTGGTCGGAACATACAAGAGAATATCCTGCTTATACACGAAGTTGTTTGCCCGGCAAGGCGAAACCAGGCAAACACGACAATTGTCTTCATCGATTTTGAGAAGGCATACGATCACGTTGACTGGATCTTTCTTGACAAGTCCTTGGAAAAAAATGAACTTTGGGCCTGTCTTTAGAAGATGGGTACGAATCCTGCATCAGAACGCCACCACCTGTGTACAGGTAAATGGGTCGGTGGCACCCCCCTTTGAGCTCCAGCGATCGGTCAGACAGGGCGACCCCATCGCCCCTTATCTCTTTCTGGTCATCATGGAGGCTCTTTCCGCTAACCTAAGGAAACACAAAGACCTAACCCGAATTAGGATCCCCAATATTCCAGAGGAGGCGGTGCCCATCTGTTCCCTGTTCGCGGACGATCTTACTATCCTGGTTGAAGTGACAGCACCGAATATGGAAGAAATCCAGGCCCTCATGAACCGTTTCAGCCGTGTGTCGGACATGATAATTAATTGGGGACAAAAAACAGTGGGGTGGTGGCTACACCACCATGGGGGTAGACCGCCAGAAAACCCACGTATAACGTGGCTCCCTCCGGATGACCCCCTGAGGGTCTTAGGCGTGTCACTCACAGCCAAAGGAAACCTGTTACAAATGACGAGTGGCTGATGGGAGCGGCACGGACTAAGTTGCAGCAATGGAACCACAAGCACACTTCAATCTTTGGGCAGGCCCTGGTCATAAATAATGTCGTGCTGGCAACCCTTTGGTATCGAGCTGTTCTTTGGCCCATCAGTAAAGGAGGGTTGAAGGCGCTCAAACAACAACTGGCAGCCTTTCTATGGAGAGGGGACAGCAGTAACAACCATGACATTAGTAGGGTGGCATGGGATTCGGTGGTTCAGCCCAAGGTGGGGGGAGGGCTTGGGATAGTGGATCCCTCCACGCAGTTCCAGGCCCTGAGTGTCCACTGGATCCAACAAATTATTTTCGAGACATCCTCCTCGTGGGCTCCCCTGGCGCTCGCGCAAATTGCGGCCATGGCCCCGGAAGCCCCACCAGAGGTAGACCCCCTCATATGGCTGGAGGACAGATATTGGAAACTCCCCAGGAAATACGCAAATGGCGACCCGGTTAATGAACATTGGACACGCCTTCTGCGAACATGGAGGAGACTTCCACTCCCCGATCGCCCCGGCCCGGACAGATGGGAGGAGATAATTAGGCAACCGCTGTTTGGAAATCGGTTAATTACAGATTCCCTCGGACAGGTTAGGAATAGCTCAGACTCCCCTTGGAAAATCTGGGTGAAACATGGGATGTTGAGGGTGGGGGATTTATAGGATAAGGAAAAAGGAGAATGGAAAAGCGCGGCGACGTTAAAAGGCTGTTTGCGTTACTGCCGCTCTCTCGAGTCTTCAATTGAAGAACTCATTGAAAGCTTCCCTATCCAATGGTACACTAAGCTCAAGAAGGGCCCCACGGTCGAAGCGGGGGACTGGGTGGGGCTTCCTGGCTGGGGATCACAAGTGGGTCAAGTGCTCCTGGTAGATCAGGATCAAGCCCTGATTGATTGTCACACTATGGCCAAATCAGGGCGACTACTCCAAGGGAACAGCCGAACCCCCATCTGGGAAAGAAAATCAGGGGTCTACAGGATTAGGGTGATTGAGGATGGGAAGGGTTGGAGAGCATATCGCGCAATGACCCCAATTGAGAACCTCCCCTTTGACCCGCAAGAGTGAAAATGGTCATGGATGGGCAGAAGAGGCAAGGGAGGGTGGGTGGGGGGGGAAGGAAGCACAATCCAATTAGCCGCTCTAAAAACCAAGTCCGTTTACCGGATGCTCAGGCCCAAACACGGACTGCGAGATGTGGTAGAAGACAGATGGCAGCGCCATCTAAACGTGGACCGGAGCGTTCTCAAACCGGTGCAATGGTTTGGCGAGTACCATAAGAGACCGGCAAAAAATTCTGCGCTGCAATGGCAAATTAGTCACCGTTGCCTGCCGACCAATAACTGGCTGATCGATCACACACAGCTCGAACAACAAGGAAGGGCACTTCCCTGGTGCCGGGGATGCTATCAGAACTTCCCCGGGAGAAAGCGCCCGGAGACGATCGAGCACATCTTCCTGCAATGTCCGGCAGCCGTCCTGCTTTGGAGATGGTGGGACAGGATCTGGCGGCACATCGTTCCAGGCTCATTATGGCCTTGGGACTGGCGGGCAATCCTGTTGGGATACTGCCCCCACCTCCGCGACAGCACCTTCGTAGCAAACATGTTCTCCCTGGGACGGCGTACAATCCTCTGGACCATATGGTTGCGAAGATGCACCCTGGAACTCGAAGGGGCCAGAGCGGAGGAGGGGGAGGTTACAGAGCAGATCCGGCCGCTCTTCCAACAGGAGATCATGGCTCAATGGCACAGCGTAAAAGAAAAACTGAGTCAGACACACAGCAAGGGGGATATTAAAAATATTATCTCCCGGTTCTGTGCAGACTGGCTGGGGGGGGAGAGGGAAGGCTGGGTTGCAAGGGTTAATTGGTCAGGAGACAGGCGGGACTGTGGAGAAGGGCAGGAGGGGGTTCTGGAAAGAGACTACCAGCTCCTATTTAGAGATTGGACAAGGGTGGACCCCGGGGAACAGCTGAGACCCGCGCAGGAGTTCGGTGATCCCTTTCCCCCTCACGCCGGGGCTCTGGAAGAATACTTGGGGACCACCTAGATTACTCTGCCGACCAGTCTGCATTTTACTGTGGACAGTTTTTGTTCTACGCCAAGAACGCTAGAAGGTCAGCGGGCACCACAGGAAGTTTACATACGGGACGCTGGACCCGTCTTCCAGCACATGACCTTCTTCATGTTTTCAGTTTTTCAGACTCTTTTCAGGAATGTTCAGACATTTGGATAGAGATTTTCAGATAATTTTCAGACATTTCAGATATTCCAGACATTTTTCAGATGTTTCCAGCTAGGGGAGGGGTACTGTGTTGCACAGAAATAGTCATGGGACGCTGGGCCCGGTTCCCAGCAGGCGAGGCTCCCCCAAAAAATTCTCAGAAATTGTCAGTATTCTTCAGTATTCATGCTATTGCAGAGTACAATGGGCGCCAGGAGGATAGTGGGTGGATGGCAGAGGCTAGGGGATGGAGGGAGACTCCACCGGTGCCCCCCGGGGGTCCCCCCCCCCCAATGCCCGACCCCGCTGCAGGAATAGGTATGGAAGAGTTAGAGTGGATATGGGACGCTGGACCCGGTTTCCAGCACTTTGGCGTCACTCTCATTGATGTGCTGTGTGACAAAGATGTATTCATGGGACGCTGGACCCGGTTTCCAGCAGGTGTTGCTCCCCACCAATAGATGGAGCGGCCCGCTAGGCAAAGTCTCAATCCCGGTGGTTCTCTTACCACCACCAGGATAGAGGTCTTGCACCAGGGCCTTCAAAAAAAAAAAAAAAAAAAAAAGAGCTGACCTCTAGTGCCTGCCTACGAATGTACCTACAAAAACTACAAGTGCCTGCCTACAAATGTATCTACAAGTAACTGCATACAAATGAATGCGACCACAAGAATCGAGAGGAGCCAAAACAACAAAACGACCGTTCTCTCAATCTATAAGGCAACCCCTCATTTCACCAATTTCTTTTTGAAGCAGATGGTGTTACTTATTCAAGGATAACACATGTACATCCAGAAATGGTCTGAACACAAAAGAGACTTCTTTGTCAGCAAGCACCAAGTCCAACAGACACTTCCCAACTTTCACAAAGGTGGCACTTTCCTTGTTTGGCATACGTGCCTTCACCAGTGTAAACTTAAGGTGGCAGTTCCTTTTTTAGCCATACGCCATCACCAGTGTTAAACACACCAGTACGTTTCCCATATATCGG